CAGATTTTTGGGATTATTTTATGTTTTTTAGACACATTTTGTATACTTTGTAGGACTCATACCCGCTAGTATATTTCAAAATAATGCACTGTTCTATTTCATCCCATCTTCGTATTGAAGATTTGTAAATAATTTATGTTACTTATAATTTTTACATGTATATAATATCACTTAGGACTTAATAAAATAAACAGAATTAATTATTAAACAACATATAAATTTATACTTATATGAATTATTTTTCAATTATTTCTCTTACTTATATTACTCTTAAAATTTAAAAAGAGATAAAGACAATGAGATTTTTTTTTATAAGAAAGATAATTAAAGTTATGAAATAATAATAAAGTTAAAGTAAAAAAAATATTTATTTACTTAAAATATAAAAAAAATAATTTAAAACATATTCTAAATAAAAATTTATGAGAGTATTATTTTATTTATTAATCTCCTTTTTAATTAGCTTTCTTTTTTGGTCTCCGTAGTATATATATATATATATTAAGAAATTGCAGTTGTAGCTCCCAATTAGAGAAAAACAAAAAAAGTGAAATCAAGACTCACATTATTTTTCTACCAGTTCTTAAGCTTTTCAAATCCTTGATTAGGAACAATAGTATTCATATTTATGTATGTATATATGTCTTTTTATCGTACACATGTACATATATCATATATGTATATATGATTGTTCATTTTAAAGTTTTTTCCTTTTCCAAAACATAATTCACTTACAATTCAATCTCACAGTATAGACTCTCCATAAGAGATGATGGTACTTGTAGGCGTTGTAATTTAGATGCTTTCACCCATGTGAATTGATAATTTGAATTGTGTTGGCATATACATCAGTTCCATTTAAAATTAAAAATTAAAAAAAAAAACTCAATTATTAATTAAATAAATAGAATATCTTAAAAAAAAAAAATCACCTACTAACCATCAGTGGCGGGTTAATACGTACTAATAATCCTATTTATTTCATAAATTTTTAAAAAATAACTTTTTTGTTTTTATGGAAAATAGATAACTGTTTACATAATAATCCTGATATTAGTAGCAAACTCATGTTTATGTATAATGTGTGTTCTGACACGTAATCCCCATAAGCAATGTGATTGGTTTACAAGATTTGACTCCCTACACTTCGTCCACTCATATCATGCCACGTGCAAGAGGTTTCAAAATGCACTGTGCGCTCACGAGTTCTCTTCCCTGATTCGCTTAATTAAACCCCGACAGCAGAAGATTTGAGTTTATTTGAGCGATGAAGTCAGGGTCACCGTTCACCCAACACGTGTACGTAGACGACAAATGCAACCGGGTCAGGGTCCAACTTGCATTTCGCTGCCTAGATTTTTCTTTTAATTTTCCCTTCACGAAGCGAAAATCAGGTGCTCCTCTCGCACACCGTCTCGAGTAAACAACCCTCCCCTTCCCGGCGATCGGCATGTGCGTTCGGTAATTGGCGACCGCGAAAGGTACGAATCGTCAAAACTCTTCCTCCTTGAAATCATTTGTACTGGTGTGTTTATGAACCGATTTCTCATAATCAACGAGCTCGATCACCGCAGAGTTTGATATTCATTCGAGAATTTTCTCTGAATTTCTTAAGCTAGTTTTTCTGTTTGGCTTTCGTGAGGAAAAATTTTGAGGAATTCTGAGTATAAGATGTTGATTATGAAGGAAATTCGTTCGAGAATTTTTTTTTTTTTTGTTGATTTTCTTTCTCGGTTTGAGGTTGAAGGACGTCAAGAATTCTTCTGACTTTCGCATTTGCAGAGAGGTAGCTTTGAATTTGAATGTGTCTAGAAGTCCATTCTCACTTCGCTTAGAGTGAGAGAAGAGAAAGGCGAAAGTGAAACAACAGAGTACCGTTTATTCAGCTTAACTGGAGCAGACGATATGGTATGTTGTTGATTCTTGTTTGAAGAAGCTTCATGATAGCAGCATTGGATCCTTTTTTCTTTTCTTTTATGTTTTATACTTTCTGAATTCTACGGCACTCCTTTCAAAAAAGAAAGTGCTAACTGCTTTGACTTTGTTATCGGAGTTTACATTATGGAGCACAGTAAAGATTCTTGTAAGTTATAACTTCTGCTTTGCTATGAGTTCTTTCCTTCTTGGTTTTTGGTGTGTGTGTTTTGTGTTTGGGGTTGGGGAGGTCAGGGATGAATTTTGTTTCCAAAATTTTTTGAACAAAATTGCTTCATATCTACTATTGCTGTAAAACTGGATTTGTTGAGTACATCTGGAGGATAGATGTTGTTTCATATGTTTGGTGTCTGATGGATGTGTTGATGCATATAATTATGATGAAATCCTTGCTTCAGTGAAGTTATTTCAAAGTACAACTGCTTTGGGATTATGGCTTTGTTTCTTTGTTTTAAGAAGCAGCTTCTGAGTTATTATTTTTGCAGTCTTTTCAGAATAAGAGTTTTTGGATGTTAAAGGGTTCTGGGCTTGCAACTGATGGAGAAGCAGCTTTTGATAATTCTTCCAGAATTAAATCAAAGCGGTCTCATAATTGGTTTATTGATGCTACTGAATCACGGTTGTTCCCAAATAAGAAGCATGCCATACAAGTTCCAAATAGTGAACCTCATGGAATATCAAACTCTAGCCCCCCGTGGGAAAACAATTCCAGTTTCCAGTCAGTTCCAAATCAATTTATTGACCGGTTGTTTGGATCTGAGTCTGGAATGCCTGTGAATTATGCTGACAGGGATGTATCTCACATTGGAACAGATAATGTGGAGAGAAAAGACATTGATGATCATTTTGATGAAGATGCATCTGTTGGTTTGTCAATGTCTAATTCTACAGAGGATCCTGAAACAAGTTTCAGCTATGGTGGTATCAGAAAAGTCAAGGTCAATCGTGTTAGGGACTCAGATAATGTTATGCATGCTGACAAGGAACATAATTTGAGCAGTGAAAATAACAGTGAGTTATCAACACTTATGACCTTTAGTAGAGAAAATGAAAGTAGTTTCATATCAATGGCTCAGACTTATGATAAGGAGTATGATAACATCACACTAATGGGTCATAACTACAGCAAGCTTGATGGCAATGTCAGACCAACTGCACGGGCCTATGGCAAGGGTGATGAGATTCCCATATCAATGGGCAACCCGTGTAGTAAAGAGGATGTCAATGTGATTTCATTTGGTGGATTTCATGAAGAGCATGACATTACCGCCACAGCACAGCCTGTTGGAAGCTATGAGCCATCATTCAATCAATCTAAAGATCTAACACTAGAACCAGCCCCTGACAGACAGTTAGGTGCTTTGAATGCCCATCCAGTTTCAAGTGCCACTTGGGTAGCCAAATCAAAAGCTGAATCACTATCAAGGAGCAAACCAGAGTTTAAATCCTCAAAGAAAGAAGCTCCAAACAGCTTCCCTTCAAATGTCAGAAGTTTGATATCAACTGGGATGCTTGATGGTGTTCCGGTGAAGTATGTTTCTTTGTCAAGAGAGGTAACTCTGCAGTTGTTCTTTTGGCTATTTATTTAGCTGGAATTTGCTACCAAGCTTATGGTTTGATCTCTGCATCTTAAAAGGAGCTTTGTGGAACTATAAAAGGTTCTGGCTATCTTTGTGGGTGCCAATCATGTAACTATTCTAAGGTATGTGCTCAGAAGGTTTCTATTTTAACCTGTTAAAATTAACTCATAATTTATGACTGATTTTGCATTAGGTGCTGAATGCGTATGAGTTTGAGCGCCATGCTGGTTGCAAAACAAAGCATCCAAACAATCACATATACTTTGAGAATGGAAAGACTATATATCAGATAGTACAAGAATTGAGAAGCACTCCTGAGAGTTTGTTGTTTGATGCGATTCAAACTGTGTTTGGTGCCCCAATCAATCAGAAATCTTTTCGAATTTGGAAAGGTAAGAATA